ATATATATATATATATATATATATATATATATATTGGGCTTATGCCTATGGCTGTATGCCTAAGAAAGGGCTAACATACAATACAGTTATTAACATTCAGAACATCGATCTATGGTCAAACATTACATTAGGTTTTTTAAAAAGTAATGTAGTTATAATGTTTGTCAGATGGCTCAGAAGGTGACTGCCTGGCACAAGCCTGACAGCCCGGGTTGTATCCCTGGAACCCAAGGCAGAAGGGGAAGAGGAGTGACTTTCTAAAATTGTCCTCTGACCTGCTCACCCCCTTCCCCCACACACACTAACGTATATTAAATATTTTTAAACATCGCAACAGCAAGAATTGGATCATGAAAGAAGCTGAATGTGTATGAATTCATTTTATACTAAGAATTAGGAAGATCCATCTGTTTGAGAGGGGAGGTGTGAGGGTGTTAAGGCAGTATTTGTTATTTTTATTCCTAATTCCCCCACTATGAGCATTCATTAATCTTCTATGTAGAAAGAGAGGCAGGAAGTCCTCAGATGTTCAAAGCTGAGCTGCTAATGGAGCAAAGGACCTTCCTTCAGTGGGGTCTTGAACAGCGCAGGCACTGGCCCTGGGCACAGCGTGAGGCGTGGGGTGGGGGGGGGCTGTGCACCGCCCTCTGTACTCCACACAAGTTAAAAGAGAACAATCTGAGAGCGAAGGAGGAGGAACCGTGGGAAGGGGTACTCCCTTGTGAGGTGTGCTCATCCTGGATCCCAGGGTAGGGAGCAAGGCGGTGCCAACAGTGTCCGGAGACCAAAGAGATGACCCTGAGGCTCCCCAGCCACTCTCCAGATCCTGTGATATTCAAGCTTCGTGCTCTCCCCGCCCCCACCCCGCTTCGGGACTCAGTTTCCTCCCACCGCAGGTCAAGATTCGAAGCGTTCCTCTGCCGCAGCCAGCTACCCACCTATAAGACGTGGTTGCTACTACAGCTGCGTCCGCGTCCCCGACCGGCAGCACGTAGACCGTCCGGGTGGGGGGCGCCAGGGACTGGCCCCTGCGGCCGCCCGGCCCCGGTGTGCGCTCTTGTGCCACATCCCGGGACCCCGAGCGCGCGGTCCGCACACCGAAATCCCGCTGGTACTGGGTGAGCGGCACAGCGCGGCTAGGCTCCCGCGCGCCCGCGACCGACGGGCTCCCGCGCGAGACGCTGCAGTCCGCGCCGGGCTCCTCGCTCCCGGGGTCCGAGTAACCGTGCAGTGTCAGCGGCACCGCTACGTCCGAGCGGTCCAGCTGGTTCCAGCGCCGGGCCAGGCAGCACAGCCGGCTGATGCAGGGCCACGCCATGCCGCTCGGCCGCGCGCCTGCGCCCCGCGCGCGCGCGCGTTACCCTGCTGCCTCTGCGCAGCTCTGCGCCCTGGCCTGCGGGCAGTCTTGGTGGCTAAACCCAGGGTTCCCCCCGAATGTGAGCTCAGAAATCAGACCTGGGCTTCACAGAGGGCGAGGCCGGAGGGAGGCATTTCCTTGCCGTCACTCTGCCTGCTTTTCTTTAAAGGAACAATCCATCAGGAAGGCTCCAGTGATAGGGCCGGAGGACTCTGTTGAGGCTTGTGGACACGGGTGGCTGCAAAAGAGTTTGAGCTGTGCTAAGGGGACTCGGCGGTCACTCTGAGTGGAAGTGAGGGTCAACAAAGAGGGTGATGCAAGTGAGGACTTGGAGGCATGTTTCCCGAAAAACACATTTGAGTCAGCTTGTGAATCGCCATTTGCTGTTTACTGTGCTGTTTTAAATGGGTGACAACCAATCCAGTTTTCCAATGAACTGTCATGAGATCCCAATCGTCCTTTCTTTAGGTTGTAAAACCCCCAAACTGGTTTCCTTTTCCTGATGTGCATGTGTGCTTGTTTCATTGCTGAGCTATATTCCAACCTGAATGAAGGTCAGTTAAATACAGAGACAGCATCCAGCTGCCCTCCAACGGCTTCCTAAGTGTATCCAACATGCACTTAGTCTTGCAATCATAGAACTGGTGGTAGTTACACTAAGTTCTGGCTGAACCTGGAAAGTATCCAGTCTGCACCTCAGAGGACTGCCCAGTCTGGGGCAGTTGGTCAGCTCATCTCCCTCAACTTCATTAGCTAGAAGTTGAGCATACCATTGCTGGTTTAACACCCCAAGTCTGGCTATGCCCCCATACTGACAGTTAAGTCAGGAGCTGGGAAAACCTTTACCAAAGGTGCATTCATGGGTGTGGTGGTTAGAATATGCTTGGCCCTGGGAGTGGCACTATTAGGAGGTGTGGCCTAGTTGGAGGAAATGTGTCACTGTGGGAGTGGACATTGAGACCCTCCTCCTAACCATGTAAGAGTCAATCTTTTCCTAGCAGCCTTCAGATGAAGATGTAGCTTTCGCAGCTGCGCCTGCACCATGTCTGCGTAGATGCTGCCATCCTCCCACCTTAATGATAGTGGACTGAACCTCTGAACTTGTAAGCCAGCCGATGAAATGTTATCCTTATAAGAGTTGCCTTGGTCATGGTGTCTGTTCACAGCAGTAAAACCCTAACTAAGAGAATGGGGACCCCCAAAAGTCCTCTCTCAGCCAGAGCCAACTGACTTTGTGAAGTGGGAGCTGGCCTTTGTGTTAGTCAACCTGGCAGATAAAGGTTAGTAGTTATGAAATAATCCAGGGGATAAAGTCACAGATCACCACTCTTAGCTGGGGTGAACAGTGAGCTAGTGCATCAGATGGCCTCTTGGCAGGAAAGCACTGCAAGGCTTTAAGTCAAAGGGCAGAAATCACGTCATGCCAGGTACAAGGTGAGCAGGTTTTTCTTTGAGGGTGGGATGGGGTGGGATGGGCAGTTTTTTTTGGTTGGTCTTTTTTTTAAAAATTATATATTGTTTCACAGAAGGAAAGGTGCAACCTTTTAATCATATAAGGTTGTTTTTATGGAGGAACTTTTTGTATACATCCAAAATTCTTTCCCACTATGGAAAGAGGAATTTTTTTCTTTTTTCCCTTCTTCCTCTTCCTCCTCCTCCTCTCTCTCTTCTTTTTCACAAGACAAATTATTATTTACCAGCAAGGTGAGGGTCCAGAAGGAAGAAGGTGTAGTATCAGTATAACCTAACTTTTAAGCCATTTTAGTTAAAATACTTTTTCATGGCCACACAGTGGGTAAAGGCACTTGCCACCAAGTCTGGTATACTGAGTTCAATCCCAAGGAACTAAATGATGAAAAGAATACTGACTGTCCAACGTTGTTCTGTCACCTCAAGGTGAAGGGTGGTACATGCATTTACATATAAAGACAAGATAAACAAGTAAGTGCATAAAATATTTTCAAGATGTGCTTATTTTCTGTGTGTGCATGCATATATGTATGTGCACCATCCACATGCAGAGGCCAGAGAGGGAGTCAGATTCCCCAGAATGGACCTACAGATGGTTATGTGCTACCATGTGGATGCTAGGAACAGGAAAAATCAGGGTCCTCTACCAGGGCAGCAAATGCTCTTAACCGAAGGGCCATCTTTCAAGTCCTGTAAAGTATTTTAGCTTAAACAATTTAAATGAATAATCTTACAGAAAAAATAACTTAAGTGGGAATTTCTAGTTTCATTGGAGACTCAATTGTGTTATGTGATTTTTTTTTCTAGAAGCTGTCTTATGAGAGGATGTTTTGTTGAGAACAGATGTGGTGTTTTTCTGGGAGCTGTCTGGTGAAAGGGCATGTGATGTTTTGCTGGAGCAGACACTTGAGAGGACACTTGATGTTTAGAAAGCGTATAGGTATAACTCAACAGACAGTGGACAAAACTCTGGCACTGGTTTGCCTTGCTGGTTTTCATTAGGCTTCATTGATGCTGGTCTTCACTGATGAAGCTCTGGCATTGATTCGCCTTGCTGGTTTTCATTAGGCTTTATTGATGCTGGTCTTCATTGATGAAGCTCTGGCATTGGTTCACCTTGCTTTCTCATCTGATCTTCTCTTGTTGTGAGTTCTTAGAAATGCACCAAAGAACTTCTGGTGGTATTCCTGCTGCTCCTTGCTGCTTCAGGGGACTCATGCTGATAGGTGGAGCCTCGAAGTATGTCTGGATGAAGCCACTGCTGCTGATTTGGGTTTGATGTTTTGTTAATATACTGGACTGCTGACAATGAAGATTGGAACTACTTTTGAACAGACCTACATCATCCTAGTGCCAATAGCCACTTCTCTCCCCTGCCTTTGATTGTTGGACTATAAGTGAGGTTGAAGTGTTTAAGATTCCTTATTAAAGTAGGTTTTGAAAAAAATCTAAGCCTACAGAAAACACTGAGAACTAGTGGTGAATGTTGGTAACCCCAGCTTGTAGAGACAAAGGGGTCAGAAGCAAGTTAGAAGCCCATCAAAAAAATAAAAAGCAGAAAAACAAATCTCTTAACTCATGTTTTGTAGTGTCAGAGATAGAACCCAAGACTTTGTACGTCCCTGGACTACCTCCACTAACACTTTTACTTGTTCATTCATTAGGCTTACTTCATGCTAGGGCTCATACTGGGTTTTCTCAAGGTTTAGTGTACTGGATCCAAGAAATGTTAGGCCAGATGGTATAAGAAGGGAGAGTTAGGAGTTAGGTTGTCATTTCATTTCATTTCATTCAGTTTCATTTAACGTTTTGAAAGTTCTTTTGACAGCCAATTCAGTCCCTCATACAGTCCAGTTCCTTGTGTGACACAGCGGCTTGGACATGTCGTATTCTGTTCTGGAGAGACTGAAGACCTAATTTATCTGTCATCTCACTGATGGCCATAGCATTTGACAAATCCCATTTGTTTGCAAAAAGCAGCAGCACTGGGTCCTGCAATTCATCTTCCAGAAGCATTTTTATGCAGCATTGCTGCTCCCTCCTGAATTCTTTCATGATCATTGCTATCTACCACAAAAGTGAGACCCTGGGTATTCTGGAAGTAATGCCTCCAGAGAGGCCTAATTTTATCTTGACCACCAACACCCCATGCTGTGAAACAAATGTTCTTATATTCTACTGTTTCCACATTTAGACCAATGGTATGAATGGTGGTGACTATTTCCCCTAGTTTCAGTTTATAACAGAATTGTCGTCTTGCCAGCAGCATCCAATCCAACCATCAAAATGCACATCTTCTTCTTGTCAAAGAGACATGAGAAGAGAGGGGAGATGGTGAAGCCCATAGCGGTGGTGGCACTTGATGCTCAAAAGAGGGGGTCTGATGCGCCCTCGGCCCTTCATGGTTCTGGCTCACAACCGAGTTGACGGAAAAGAAAACGCTGAAGACCTGTCTCACAGGCTGGAGTGTCAGCGAAGCCGCGGGACACTATGCAGAGGGACCAGGACCTGCTCGGCGACTGGTGCGGTGGCTCCAGGTGTTAAGTCAAAGCATTTCATTTGGTTTGGTTTGGTTTGGTTTGGGCTTTGTTTTTGGGGGGCTAAGGTTTTACTATATATCCCTGCCTGGCCTCCAGCTCATCGGGATTGGCCTCCGTTCGCCTCCGAGTACTGCAGTTAAAAGCATACACCATCATCCCCACTGCATTCTACTTAGTGTCTGTAAGTCCGGCCATCTGTAGCATTACAAAGACTACCAAAAAGACAGGTGTACTTTATCCTCCTAAATTGGTGGCAGGCATTGCCCGCTGAATTTCCTCCTTGAATCAGGCAGGCCGTTGGGACATGTATACATTGTGAGTCTTCCCAGGCTGTGGTGCACTTCAAAGGCACACAAGAATAAGTCACCTCATCTGACAACACAACAGGAGTCACCTATGCACTGCCTCAGAGGGCTGACTACAGAGGCTACATTGTATTTCTCTACCAGATTTAGACAATTTCTAACACATCCTGTGAGAAGGAAAGAATTTGTTCATCTCAAGCTGGACATCCCCCCCCCTCCATTTCCAGGCACAAGCCCCCAGTTAGGGATATCAGAGATGATCATAAGCTTTTTAAACCTTGAGATACAGTTTTAGTTCATAGGCTCTGGGGATCATAAACCTCTGCAAGCACAGAAAGGGTCTGCTCAGCAGATATTTAAAGCTCTCTTTACAGGGATGAAGAGGTGGTTCCAAAGTTAGAAGCACTGGCCGCTCTTGCAGAATACCCGAGTTTGGTTCCCAGTACCCATGTGACATCTCACAAGCTGCTGAGACTCCACTTCCAGGGGATCTGATGGCCTCCTCTGACATCCAACGGCTCCTTCATGCACATGGTGCATATGCACATGCCCTGGCACACACAAACATACATATATATACACATAACAAAATGCACATAAGTAAATATTAGATGAGTAGTCTAGCATGGTGGCACATGCCTTTAATTC